ATTAACTTGCCAAAGGCACAATGGCTAGTGAGTAGGGCAGTGGGGATTGACACCCGGGATTGACACCTGGGATTGACACCAGGATTCACACCCAGGCTCTAGAGGCCGTGCCCTTCAGCACCACACGGCACCACCTCTCCCTTGTCCGGTTCTGTCTCCCGCCACGCAGCCTGTGTGACATTCATGCCCAACCTCACTGTTCCCTAAACATGCTGTGAGCTTTCAGACCTTAATGCTTTAGCTGTCATTATGCCCTTTGTCTGAAATGATAGCCTACCCTTCTGTCACGTGAAATCCTTTTTATCTTTTAAGGCTGAGGATTAAAAGTCACCTCTCCTGCGAAGCCTCCCCAAGCTCCTCCATACTGAACTAATCACGCCCATCACTATTATCACTTCGTCTTAGTGCTATTTTAGCACTGTGTTATGATGAACTAAGTCCTCTACATATAATTGTCATCAAAATAGACTGCGAGCTCCTTAGGGTAGGGACTAAGACTTATTTGGCTTGAATCTCCAGGGCTCAGCAAAGGGGCTGACACCTAGTAGGTAGTCTATAAAGGTATACTGAATAAATGAATTAATTAAAATAGCTACCCGTTGTCAAGAGAATCTTCTCTATGACATCGGAGTGCTGTGGGCAGTGTTTTTAGTATGCTGGACTCACTCTGGGGAGATGGATCTACAACAGATGGAAGGGTGGAAGAATGACCAGGTGCCTTATCATTGCCATTGTTTTGTAGTTTTAGACCTGGAAGATTCTGGGCTTAGAGGATTTAAATTCCAAACTCCTGTGCAAAGGAAAAAAATGGTGAAGTAGAGGGAAGGAAGTAGACGCTAAAATCATTTATTCCTCTGTGGAAAAACAGGCACCTCTGTCTAGCCTGGCTTTCTTCTGACCAGTTGGATTGGAAACACTTGGAGATCAAAAAAATGGCTTTTGGTAAGAATGAAACACGTGGTGGGAAACTGTAAGAATTTACCAGGTGATTTTTGCTACATGTGCAAAGGAAAAGAGTAACTTTCCTGACATTACACTTAAAGATCCTCTGTGTATCAACAGACCCCACATCTCCATTGCAGAGGAAACACTATATTTTCTAAGCCTAATTTTGTTTCCTAGGGCCATTGTGACTTTTTAAAAAGTATCTATTTGGGGACTTTGCTGAGTCACTGCAGAAAGCTTTAACAATTATGGGCGATGAACATATTGGTATCTGTGCCCCAAATTTAGACTATGTTTAAAAACAACAAAAGAGAATGAATTTTCTTTTCTAGATTTGTTTTAACTCATTCTCACTTAAAAAGCAAACTCAAAAGTCTCCTTCTGTGGTACTATAATCCAATTCGATTCAGCTCACTTCAACTTAACAAGTGTTTACTGAGCATCCATTCCCAAAGAGATGCATGAATGAACACTTGTTATGCCTCCTTCCTTTAAGGGGCTCTCAGACAGACACACAGTTGCTCGTAACTCAGCGTGAGGCATGCTATAAACAGAGACGGTACTCGGAGCTAACCTAGCAGTTAACAGCATTGCTTGTCTTGGTTTGTGCTGTCATCAAGGGTGCTTTCCCAACATGATGGAAAGAAGGAAGGTGGGCAGAAAAAGCCCTTTTTAAAAGTCAACTTCAAAAAGTCTTGCATCACACACTGAAAAACAAGTTTCTTCACTTTTATGTCTTCGGTAAGGGACTAGAGACTAACACAAGATCTTAAATTTTAATTACTAAAGTGATTGAGTGAACAACTGTGTTCCTAAACCAAATTATACGTTATGATAAAACTTCATCCTCCTCCTCCTTTTTCCACTGTAGTCCACAGACGGTAATTACACGGGAGTTCCTTACTACAGCAAAGGAATCTAGAATCAATCTGAAGAGTGTCACAGTGAAAAACATGAGTAGAATGTCTAGGAAGTAGGAAAATAGAAAAAGACTTTCGGGACAATAATGAGAAAAAGACCCTGAGATATCTGTCTTAACAGAGTAATAAGCTAATTATAGCCGAACTTTACGCTGGAGACACTGGAATAGAGGAGTAGAAGAGAGAGGAGGATAGGACGAAACTTAATAACTCAAAATACTGAAAACTCTCCTCTCACCACCACGTTTCACTCCTCTTTGCTCTTGTAAAGTGGGATAATTTCTATCTCATTAGAACAGTACTTTCCATATAGTAATTGATGTGTGTCTACCATTATTTGCTCTGGCCCACCCTGGTCCCTACGCCTGGAAGCCTGCGCTGTCCCCCAGCACCTCGCCCGGGGAACGCTGCATCTTTTAAAACCCAGGTCTCCATGATCACTCCTCGAGGAATTCATTTGCCTACGCGTCCATTTCTGACATAAGCCTATGAGTTTTTTGAGGGCACAAGCATTACACAAATACATTCTTTCATATAAATTTAAAAATAGTACACATAGAACTCAAATCTTTCTTCATTATTATTCTCCCCATTACTCTTCCCCGAGATAACAATTTGATCAACAAATATTTATTAAGCGCCTACTGTGTGACAGACACTGTTCTTTCGAGCTGAGAATATAATAATAAAGTAAAATTCTTTCCTCATGGCATTTATATTCCAATGGGAAAGGATGGAAGATAAACACAATTAGTAAGTAGAATATAATGATAACGCAACAATAATAATGGTAGACACACATCACTTACTATATGGAAAGTACTGTTCTAATGAGATAGAAATTATCCCACTTTACAAAGAAACTGAGGCACAGAGAAGTCAAGCTCTTATATCTCGAAATGACAGAGCTGGGATACAAACCCAGACAATCTGGCTTCAGAGTGTGTTCTCTTAACCATGATGCTACGCTGCTTCTCTGTAGTACGTTAGATGAAGAAATGCTATGGAGAAAAGTAAAGCGGGTAAGAAGAGTTAGAGGTGTCGGTGGTGGTGTGGGGTTCTAAATCCAGTGGTCAAGGAAGGCCTCACTGAGAAACTGACATTTGACCCAAGACCTGAATGAGGCAATGGAACGTGTATCCGGGAGAAGAGCAAGTTCAAGGGGACAAGGTCTAGTATGCTGAGAGAACAGGAAGGAGGCTGGTGTGGCCGGCGTGACTTGAATAAGGCGTTGGGAAGTAAGAGATAAGATTCGAGAGGTTAAGGAAGGAGATAGAGGGGAGTGTGACCGGGAGAGTCTAAGGACAGGATTCCAGAGATTCCAGAAATAGGAGAAATGAGCAAAAGAGACAGAGAAGGCACAGCCAGTGAGGGGGGAGGACCAGGAGAGCACAGTTTGTGGAGGCTGAGTGGTAAAAGTGTCTCAAAGTGAAGGGACTGATCAACTGTGTCAAATGCTGCTCACAGGTCAAGTAAAAAGACTGCTAAAAGCTGACTCTGGGATTAGCCATGGTGGTCCCTGGGGACCACAAGAAGAGCAATTTTGGGGAGGGACTGGGGTGAAAGCCTGGGTGGGGTGGCTTAAGAGAAGAGGTGAGGTTTAAAAGAAAATGTGGTTTAAAAGAATATGTAAGGAGAGGAATTAGAGGCAGTGAATATAAATTATTCTTGAAGGATTCTGCTATAAAAGAGAACAGAGAAATGGTATAGGCCCTGGACAGAGTTAGGAGATTATAGAGGGTTTTTAAAGATGGCGGGGAAATAGCATGTTTCTATGCTTCTATTAATGATCCAGTAGAGTAGGAAAAACTGATATGGAGTTTGGAGTGATACCCTGGAGCAGGTGAGGGGAGGGCATGTGACAAGATGGGAGGCAGAGGGTACTAGCAGTAGTAGGAGCTGTGGAAGTTCTCTTCTAAATGGCTTGTCTTAGCTTTTAGCGTCACCTTGAGTAATATCTTCTTGATCTGTGTGTCCTTAGTATGAAGCAGATGTTGAGTTTTTTGCTGAATGAATACATGAATCAGATTCATATTTTTTAAAGAAGACCCCAGCTTAAGTGTTACCTATCATGCTAAACTCTTCCCAAATACCTGACAGCAATTTTATCAGGAGCAAGGAAAAAGGCCAGCGTTCAACATCTATGTCTGAAAACACGAGCAGTCTCATACCCAGGGATCACCCTGCTCCTCTCCGGATGTACATTTTACCCGCAGAGAAATCCTCATTATTTCTCAGACGTGCCGTACCTGTTTTATCCCTTCCTGTCCTTAATTATGCTGTTTTCTCACCCTTGAACGCTCTTTCTTCCTGTGGAAATTCAATTTATTCTTTAAGGACTAGCTCGTATGCTGTCTCCTCTGTGAAGCATTTCCTGATTACTCTGTCAGAATTAATTATTTCTATTTGGGACACATTTTATTTAACTTACATACATCAGCACTTCTCAAACTTTTGTACCTAAAAACCCCTAACAACAAAAGAGAATGAATTTCTTAGTCTTGAAGGTATAGTCCACTTTGGTTTACCAGCTCACATCTTTCTTTGAGGTCTGGTATCTTGTTTTAAAAATGCATAACAATTTTACGTTATTTTTTCATAAAGGAACCTTTTAAATTTTGAGATAAACACATTTTAAGGTACTTATCAGTGAAATTATTTAATTCTATCCTTGAAAATCCCCCCAACTATATGAAAAAGGACACTTCAAAAGAAGCGTCGTG